TTATTATTATTATTATTATTATTATTATTATTGTACTTGTGGATATTATGTTTTCAATGATGTGAGTGTTTTTTTTTCTGTCAGCTTTCTGATTCCTCTTGAAAACTTGAAGCCCACTGAGAACCAGCAAGGTAAGAAATTTGATGAACATTATTGCACATGATACAACTTTTCCTGTTTTAGTCATGTTTGTAGGGTTGTAAATTCAACTCAATATGCGCTGTTAAGAATGGTGGCCTAATGTTTAGCATGTTGCCAGGACCCTGTGTAGAACAGGAGATCAAGACTTGAGTCTGGCTGGGGTCCGTGTTTCGTGATTTTGGGCATGCCACTTTACTTGGCATAATGGGTCACCATTAAGCCAGGCACATATTAATACCAGTCAATTGTTTGGTATCCTGAAGATAATAAAAATAAGAAATAAAGCACACGTCAGGGGTTGTCATTCCATGGTTCTGAAACTGGTAGCCTTTATGGTAGATAACGGGCCATGGAACTGATTCATCTTTGATGCAGATCACAGTAATGTCATGTTGCATTTCCTGAAAGAAATGTTTTTGTGTTATATTTTATTTCCAGAGTTAAACTACAGAGATTTGTCAGGCTTCTACAAGAAATCTGAAGCTGGGGGAGGTCCCCCTACAAATGAAGGTGAATGTTTGTGGCAAATGTGTAGTTCCAAAAAATATCCATACCTCTCCCACAGAAGAGAGTTTTTCTAAGGACCCCTCCAACCCAGCCCTCTGGAAATTCCATACATTCTTTAAATATTTGGTCATACAGACCCACCCCACCCTCCAGGAAATTCCAATCCCTTCTGTAGGGGAGTGTGGATATTTTCTGGAATGGCACAATATTAGCTTGTTCAGTGGATATCATGCTAACACAAAGATGTAATCATTGATAAATAACCTGTTGAGTTCTTCCTACCATCACAACGAAGGCCGTTACAGAAGTTCAGGTACACTGTAGAGGCCGTGTTCAAGCTAATTTATGCTTGTAATGATCTCTATAGGGTTACGGGACGACGGTAAAAGGGGAAGAAGAAGAAATATGCCAGGAAGACCTCAAAGGGGTTACAAGGTGAGAAAACAAACCCTTTTATTTGTAGTACTATGCAGTTTTGTGAACATAAAAATACATGTATTTCATTTGTTTGTTTATTGCTTAGGGCGATGAACATGGCGAGGACACAGCAGCTCGGAAGGGTTTCCAGGTAAAGTCTAGTTGACAGATGTTTGTTGAGTGGTTGAGAGAAGTCATTTACGATAAACAAGTAACGACTTTCTTTGGTCTGATCTGGGATAAGAAAAAGCAGTGACTTATTTCACAGTAATGCAGAGATGAAACCAGTACTAACTAATGACTCGCTAGACTCTTGAGCTAGCCTGCGAAGCAAGCGTTCCTGTACAAAGGGCTTTTCCACAATCTGAAATTGGAGTGAGAGCAAAAATTAGTCGAAGCAGGGAGTGGTGAGACCACCCCCGGCTTCGTTGAGTTTTTGCTCTCGCTTTAATTTACGCGTGGCCCCAATTTACCTGCGGCCAGAATGCAGAAAAGCTCTTCCTAAGGGAACGCTTGCTTTGCACGCTACTCTTGAGCTAGTGGGCGAGTGCTAAGTCTGCAGTGCAAACTTCTGTTCATCATAAACTGAACTTCTACTGTCCCTTTACTTGTCTATATTTTTTTTTTTCATTAACTTTGATGTTGTTTTACACACGTATTTCAGGATGAGTCCTTCCCTAGGCAAAGAACTGGCCCAGGACCACGTGACAAGTTTGGAAGGGGAAGAGGGCGTGGCCGCTATTCCAGAGGACGAGACGAGAGACAGCTGCAGAGGGAAGATGAGGAAGCTAAACAGATTGCAGTGAGTATATACAGCAAGTTACTGTAATCCGTCAGTACAATAGTTACCTTAAAATTCCGGTTATAAGCCGTGGGCTTGTACAACTCACATTAGAAAGTGGTTTTGGGTGGGCTTACAAACGGGAGGACGGATATATCTGCCGGGGAGGGGGGGGGGGTGGAAAGTCTTACAAGCGGTATAAAGAAAGGTTCCAAAAAAGCTTATGAAACCAACATCCAGCAGTACAAAAAGATGTTTTATGTTCTTGGGAAAATACACACAGCTTGGCCTATAGCTGGAGGTCTTTCACAGTATTAATGGTCAATTTCTTTTCATAGGAACAAGCCAAGCTTGCAGAATTACAAGGAAAAGATCCAGCAGCTTTTCCAGCATTGCCGGTAAGTTTAAACTTGACAGTATTTGTCAGTTGTGATCATTACAAGTGAATTCCTTTTGTGGTGAACTTGCTGTCTGTGGGAACATGTGCAAAGCAGCTTTGAACTGAGTGTTATGTAACTTCTCTCTTGCAGCTGCTCGGGCGGAAGTCATACCATGCTCTCGGTTCCCTTGCGGCTGTCTCAAACCGACATGCATTCCTTTCGCATTGTTTAATTTGGCACATTTTAATTTTACATATTTTTACTTGAACCAGTTTTAAGCGTCCGAAATATTTACAGTACAGTATTAAACTTTTAAATAGCTCCAAAGCTCTTAGTTTCCTTTTGGAAGGAACTCTAGTTGAGACACTATTTTCTCGTCGGTGTTTCTGTAAAACCTTGAGGGAGCAGTTAAACTCTCATTTGAATCACAGGTGTTGTTTCATTCTACTATAATTCGTGTTTTTACGCGTAAATATACTTACGCTATGTTTATGCAAAGTTTCCGAAAGTTTCGTCCGAAAATTATCCGAAACGAGAAAATAAGTGTCCGGAAATTAAACGTCCGAAATAGACCAATTGCGATATATTAAAATTCAGCCTGAGCACGAGGCTCCGGGGAATAAACTTTACAAACTCTGTAGTTATTCCCCAGAGCCTCGTACTGAGGTCTATTGTTTTAGGCTGAATTTTAATATATAGAAATTTGTCTATTTTAAAGTCCAAAATTTTTTCAAGTAATGTTTTTAAAATGTTGTTCACAGACTCAACAGGCCGAAGAGAAGCCGTCCTCCACTGAAGCTGCACCTGATCAAAGCCCTGCAGAATTTTGGAGTCGTTTGAAAAACACTCAAGGAAAGCAACCGCCTGTCCCATCCAAAGAAAACCACGTGAGCACAGCGGAGAACAAACCACCAAGCGTACCTACCTCACCAACCGATCAACAGTCCCACACAGCCAAACCTGAAGAGAAAGAACCGGAAGCTAAAAAGGAAAAACCGCTGACCAAAGAGGTAAAAGCACCGGCAACTCCGAACAGTGAAGTCGAATCTCTCGACGCAAGTAATAACCATGTTTCACCGGAAACGGGCAAAAAAGAGCAGAGCGAGTCTCAAAGACAGGCCTTGTTTGTAGAAAAGGAACAGTTGAAAGGGAAGGTGGAATTATCAAAGGGAGGTCATCTGAATGAGATCAAACCATCAGCACCAAATGTGTCTTCCTCGGGTGAGGTGAAAGGCATTTCTTCAAAGTCTAATGTCGAGGAAGTAAAGTTTACGGATGTTGTCGAGCCGAGAGGTGCTTGGGCGAAGGAAGCATCCGAGAGTAAAGAACTTAAAACACAGGACAAAACTCCAGAAAATAATGTCAAAGAGATGCAACCAGAAGTGAAGAAATCAGAAGAGCCTCTTTCTGTCAAGCCGCAAGGTGTAAGAGGCGTGATTCGTATGACCAACCTCAACAGCAAGCCACAGCAGTCTGCGGACAGCCAAGAGCAGGAGGAGACACAAAAGGAAGATATAAAATTGTTGAGGAAGGAGGATTCGGTCACTAAGGAAGTACCAAACCTCAAATCTGCTCTAGCTGGAGAAGGGACTTCAACTTCCTCTCCAGAGAAAAAGACTGTAACATTTGCCGAGCCTGTTAAGGAAGGAGGCGAGATTAAAGTGCTCGTGAGCACAGCGAAGGATTTAGCTGGTAAAGATGGAAAGAGGGAAGTGCTTGCTCCTCCAACACTAGGTACGGTTTTGTTGTTTCTTTTTTTCTTCTTTTTTTTTTTTTGTCCCATACGACACGTATGTCTGTAAGAGCACGCAGATTCAGTGAAACACATTAAATCCGCCATGGTAACTATTACAGAATTTTAAACTGAGACTTTGTTTTCAAAAGGTTCTGTTGTTTTAAGCATTCATTTACGCGACATGCCTGAGTACTAAGGGCGCTTTCCATTCGACCAAAACTTCCGGTTTGCATTTGTGGTAAATTTCTAGTGGGGAATGGATCAGCATTTTTCGGGATGTCTACAAAAGAAGACAACCTAGCGAGCAATAACCAAATGTTCGGAAATTTCTTACCGGAAATTTCTGTTCCATTTGACTTTGCTCCCAGAATTTCCGCAATTTTCGGTTGAATGGTTCGCTTTTCAGAAATTCAACAATTTCCGGATTTTCTGGAAATTTTCCTGGGAAATTTCTGTACCATTTGTCCCCGTTTCGAAATTTTGGGAACTTTTGGTTGAATGGAAAGGGCCCTCGGACAATACTTGTTAATTGTGCGCGTAGCCTGTGTACAGCCGCCCCATTTTTTGAGGGGAGGGGGCAGCTGTACACAGGCTATTGTGCGCACTGTAACGCGACACTGGCAGTTAAAACAGTAGACCCCTTTTCAGTTTTGCCATACATCCTAAAAGCCATTCAACTACTTCGTTGTTCTTTCTCACATTTTGTGCTTAACAAATCAGACTTCTGAGCCACGCTCATCTGATTTTGTAACCGAATGGAACTCTATTCTAGCCAAGCAGGGTTTCAGATAAAGGTGAGGTGTCAATAAGGAGAATTCCCAATGGGCCAATAGATTAAGCTGCGACATTTATCATTTAAACTTTTCCGATAATTTGTTGCGTTAGATAGTCCACCCTAAAGGGATTTTGCCCAAAGCTGGACCCCTTCATTTTATGGAACAGTTCCTAACGGTATTTTTGTGTTTCGTTCTTTCGTTGTTTGTAGTTTCAGTAGTGATGAAGCCAGCTCCAGCTTTAGACACTGCACAAGACAATTTGCCCATTCCTCTTATGCCAGTAAGTACTGTCTCTTTTGTATTACTCTGGCATTCATGTGTTTATATTTGTTTTTCACGTGAAAATGTCTGGTCAACGAGTTTACAACTGGCTAGTTCGATTGTTAACGCACTGGACTCCGAATCGAGTAGTCCTGGTTTGAGTCCCGGCCATAGTCATTCGGTGGTGTTCTTGGGCGAGATACATTGCTCTCAAAGTGCCCCTTCCGTTTGGGAGTAGGGACGAGGGTGGGGGGTGGTAAGTGGGGGTGGAGAGTGAGGGTAACCCTGCGTGGACTAGAAATACTCCTAGCCGCTTCATGCTCCAGAAATCAGGCCAATAATCTGCGGTGGTATAGGAAACATGGCCAGATGCAGACTTTTTCTTACCGTTACACAAATAAATAGTTCTGTCACATTTACAGAGGTTTGGGTACTTTCCGTAGTCCAGTGAGTTCATTGGTAAGCGACACTTTTTTTTCACGCGGCCGGCTTTTAATTCTCACTGTCCCGTTCTGTACACAGAGTAACAAACCAGACAAGAACACAAGCGAAGATGACGTGACAAACGCCAAAAACTCCACTCCCACCCCCGATCCAAACACTAAATCACAGACCACCACCCTCACCCCCTCGGACAGCAGCCAAGGCAGCGAAGGAGCGGAATCTGCCCCGTCTAGCTCCCCGTCAGTCACGCAGCACCAGACCGTGTATCAGTTACCATACCTTCCTGTGTTGTACACAACGCCTCCCAACATGACCAATCATCCCCGCCTGCCTCAAGGAATATCTGTGGAAAGTGATGGATCTGATCTGCCGGAAGGTACGTCTCTCTGACTTGCTTTATCATAAGCCTCGTCCACACTACGCCGGAGCATGTGAAAACGCAGCTTTATTTCTAAGGTTAGGTCTACCGTCTACACTAATCCGTCTCGAAAACGGAGCTTTTCGAAAACGCTCTTCAAACCTGAAGAATTTGAAAACGCCGGCTTTTCGGTTTCATCATGAAACCGAAAAGCCGGCGTTTTCGAACTGTTTGCCGTTCACAGTGTGGACGGCAAACATTTTGAAAACGGAACTTTTCGAAAACGATGTAATCTCGATAATCATGTGATTTCCTTGACCGAATTTTCCTCAAACACAAATCCAAAATGACCGGTAATTGTTGCGTTTTTAAATTCCTCCGGCGTAGTGTGGACGGAAAACATTAGACTTGTTTTCAGAATGAAACCTCCGTTTTCAAATTCCTCCGGCGTTTTGTGGACCGTGCCTCAGCTGCTTGTCTTGTAAGCTAGGGGACGGACATGCTTAGCTTTTATTAATCATTTTTACTTAACTTATTGATAGGACAACGCTCGAGAGTCGTTTTGGAAGGCGGAAATAGAAAATAAATCATAAAATTATTTCGTTGTATCTGACGAAACACTTACATTTAGGAGACAAGTGGATGTATCACTCTGTTTAGAGTTCAGTTGAGCAGTTACTTGTCGAATTTAAATTTGTCAAACTTAAATCCTTTTGTTTTGCCAAACATACTCAGGTTACTGCATTGTTTGTTTTGCAGATCCGAATACTCTTCGATATTTCTTCAATCTTGGATTCCAGGTATCGAGTGGCTATTTATGAATTCAAAGTATTATGCTTAACATGCGAACGCTGTGTTATCATAAGCATAATTTAACTGAATGTTAATCAGTTCATTCCTTCAGCGGGCGATTTTCGGGAGGTGGGAAAGTGAGGTGGGTGACAAACAGTACAGCATAAATGTTGCTTTATTTATTACAATCTATGGTTAAAAGGCCAAACGATAATCTGTTAAGGAGTCCTAAACCCCGTATAAAAAGACAGCCTTCCTCCCTGCTGAGGCCAGAAAACAATACAGTGGATTATCGGTCCCTCGATTTCTCAAGTCCAAACCCAATCGTTTTCCTCTGATTTACCTCAACTGAGCACTTCGATTTGCCCCCGAATTTTGATTCCTTTGCTGTCTTAAAAAACAGAGCCGGGTTTTTCGAAAGCCGGTTAGCGGTAACCCAGGATTAGGGACCGTTCATTTTTTATAAGGTAGGGGGGGCTGGTGGGATTTGGGGGGGGGGGCCATGCGAAAAAAAATGGCTTTCGAG